TGGATGTGGGGGCTGTACTGTAAATAAAATGCTGACTTTTTTTAAAAAATCAGTTGTTCAAGTAAATCTGCACCACAGTGTTTCTCAAAATACGTTGTAAAAAGTAAGAGTGTTATCTTTCCTAATTTTAACAGAAATTAACTGTGCCTTCCAACATGAGTCTGCCTGTGTCTTGGTGGTAAAGGAGAGGCAGCCTTTTGTAGGCTGCATGTGTATATGATCATATATTTTGCCCCAGGTCCAGTAGTAAAGCTCAGAAGCCCTTCACTACACCACGGAACTTCATTTCCCTCAACCAAACAGTACAAAAACCAAACAGTACAACAATGGGAAAGTATTTGTTTCTAACTTTGTGTTTTCAAAAACACAAAGTTAGAAACATATACTTTCCCCCAATCATTGTTGCTGATTATTTTCTTTTCTGACTTATGGAAACCCTAATGTGATCCTATCATGGGGTTTACTTGGCACAGTTGGTTCAGATTAGCTTTGCTTTTACTTTCCACTGAAGCTGAGAGAAAATGACTTGCCCAAGTCCACCCAGTGCCCGTGGCCAAATTTCAGTCCTGGCCTCCCAGAGTCCACCACTCAAACCACAACATGTTGGCCAGGCTATTTATTATGAGCTGTGTTCTGAATAGTAATTTTGATCCAACTGCACAAGCTGCTTTGTGATTTCCGGTGGCGGGTGCTGCTGTTTCAGAGGACAATCCTTGCCTGCTAAAGCAACCCATGGTAGGGAATTACACCCCAAACCCTGCGTGTCATCCAGAGATTGGAGAAGAAGCCTATTTTCATGATTTTGTCCCTCCTGTTGAAATTGTCCACATGCTTGTGGGTTTCAATGGCTTCTCTGTGTAGTCTGACATGGTGGTTGTTGGTTAGAGTGGTCCAGCATTTCTGTGTTCCCAAATAATATGCGGTGTCCAGGTTGGTTCATCAGGTGCTCTGCTATGGCTGACTTCTCTGATTGAAGTAGTCAGCAGTGCCTTTCGTGTTCCTTGATTCATGTTTGAACAATCCCTATGTAGACCTGTCCACAGCTGCATGGTATACGGTAGACTCCCGCAGAGGTGAGCCGATCCCTCTTGTACTTTGCTGAACATAGCATTTGTTGGATTTTTTGTATTATGTGTTCCTTCACCAGCTTCCCTATGCTTCCACCATGTCAGACTACACAGAGAAGCCACTGAAATCCACAAGCATGTGGTCACTGTCAACAGAAAGGAAGAAACCATGAAAATGAACAAAATCTGGCTGCCAGTATTAAAAAAAAGCTCTAAAATTTAGGACCGTAAATAAAGAGCAAGACTTAAAAAACAAGGTAATTCCAGACATGAAACCATCATGGCCAGCTAACATCTCTCAACAAAGGACTTCCCCAGATAGGAAGCAGCCAGACCTTGAAGCTGCAAGGCTTTGCAATACTAATTAAGGTGATTAAGTGCAGTATTCACATTTGCCTCCAACAGACAAGGGTCCTTTCTCCCATCATGGACCTTCCACAGATATATAAACCTTCCTTACTATATAAAGATATATAAATCTTCCCAGAGCTCACAACCTCTGGGGATGCCTGCCATAGATGTGGGCGAAACATCAGAAGAGAATGCTTCTGGAACATGGCCATACAGCTCAGAAATCTTACAGCAACCTTCCTTGTTTAGTTTCCAATATACCTCACAACCTCTGGGGATGCCTGCCATAGATGTGGGTGAAACATCAGGAGAGAATGCTTCTGGAACATGGCCATACAGCCCGAAAATCTTACAGCAACCTTCCTTGCTTAGTTTCCAATAGACCTCACAACCTCTGAGGATGCCTGCTATAGATATGGGTCAGGAGAAAATGCTTCTGGAACATGGCTGTACAGCCCGGGGAAACTCATAGCAACCCAAGAAGCTTATTGTTTCACCAGCAGTGAGTCAGTAGGGCACTTTGGGGGAGAGGCAAGGAGAAGGATGGGAATGTGAAGGCTTTTGTCTGCCAGAACTCAGACAGGAGGGGGGGACTCTGTGGGGTTGGGAGCACAAGCCCCCTTTGTGGGCAAATCCCATTAGGAGTGACAGTTTTCCAAGACGTGTGTGTCTCTCTTTTACACACAGCTTCCAGTTGGTGAGTCAGGTACCTCCCTTTGTGCCCAGGCTCTCCTTCCTTGCTCCTTCCCCTCTCCACCCCCGCCCACTCGGTCCACGCGAGCCTTTTCCCCGCGCGCCTGTCCCCCACAGACTGCTCGCACGCCAGGCCCAACGAGGGGGGCGGAGGAAGGAAAGAGAGGCTGGAGCCCATGATCTCCTTCGCCTCAGACCCTCCTCCGTCCTTTTTTTTGTGAGGAAGACAGGGAACGCCCCTCTTCCAGACACTATTTGGGGAGGAAAGAGTTGGGAAAGAGAGCGAGAGCAAGCGATGCAGGCGGGCCTTTCCTTTCCACTGACGGAGTGGGAGGGAGAGAGGCATGTCACTCAAGCCCCCCTCCTTCTGCTCCTCGCCCAGACAAAGCACCCCGGTGCCCTCCTTTCCTCCCTCCTCTCCTTTTCTCTCCCTCCCTCCCTCTCTTGTCTCTTTCCCTCCGGAGGGAGGGAGGGAGGGAAGGTAAAGCCACCTCCGCTCGTGGGTCGCCACTAAGCCGGCCTTGTCGGGCGGCGATGGGAGGGAAGGAGGCGGCACCAAAGGGGAAGGAAAGGGAGGAGGGAAAGAGAAGCGCCCCTCTCTTTGGACGTGGGAGGAGCCAGAGAACAGAGAAGGAGGAATAGGAGAATCAGCTGTGCCCCTTCCTTCCTTCCTTCCGTCTTTCTTCCCTTCCTCCCAGTCCCATCCTTCTTTGTCACCGCTGGGCCTGGCTTTGTGAGGCCTTCAGACGCCAGCTGGTGCTTTGCAAACGTGGACAGCCAAGCCAAGGCGCATTAGGGAGGGGAAAGGGAAAATGCTCCAGGCTAGGAGCCAAGGCAAACGGACCATGGACCCTGCACTTGCTGGAGCCCACATGCTCCCAGCACCCCCCCCCCCACACACACACACACACACACAGAGTCCGGGTTTTGTGCAAGAAGGCGCTGCTTGATGCCCACGCGTGGGGTGCTGCCACGCTGCGCCTTGGACTTGGGACCTCAAACTCTCGCTCACTCCCGGGACAGCCTTTTCTGTGTTTCTAGGTGTGTAGAGCGAAGGCACTTGGGAGATGGCCAGTCACAGATGCAGGCAAAATGTCAGGAGAAAATGCTGCTAGTACATGGCCAGACAGCCCAGGAACCACACAACACACTAGTGATTTCAGCAATAGATTGTGATGATAGTTATACAGCTGGCATGAACCAACTTGGGGGTCTTCCAGACTCCAACTCCCACCATTCCTAACAGCCTCGGGCCCTTTCCTTTTCCCCCTCAGCCGCTTCTTGGCAGGGGGTTGGACTGGATGGCTCATGAGGTCCCTTCCAACTCTATGATAAGTTATACAGGAGGCATGAGCCAACTTGGGGTCCTCCAGGTGTTTTAGACTTCAACTCCCACCATTCCTCACAGTCCAACACCCGGAGGGCCCAAGTTGGCCCATGCACGAGCTATCTCGACCTGCCAATTTGCATATGGTTTCTGATTGGCCAGCCTCAACAGTCTAACAATCTTTAAGGGCTGAGGGGGGAAAGGAAAGGGCCTGAGGCTCTTAGGAATGATGGGAGTTGGAGTCCAAACCCCCAAGTTGGCTCATGGCCCATGGAGAGAGAGGGCGATGCCACTACAGCGTCGCCTGGCTCTCTGGCGAGCTTGGCGACCCACTGGATCCCTCTCCCTTCCTTCCTCTTTGCTGCTCTCCCGTCTAAGTCTCTTTAAAAGGCCAAGGAAACTTTAGAGGGGGCTTGTTGTTGTTTTCTTCTCTCGAAGCCAGCCGCTGAGTGGCTGAGGAGTTTCAAACGCCTGGATTGGGCTCTTCCCCGCCGAGAGAGAGGAAAAGAGAGCTCGCTTCCTCCTCCTCCTCCAGGCGGAGACAGGCCAGGGGGCGGGCCTTGCTCTGGTTGGCTCCCTCAGCCTGTCACTCTCCTCCTCCTCTTCTTCACGGCGACAGGACAAGAGCAGAGCCTCCTCCTCACGGCGACAAGCCAGGAGGAGGGCCTTGCCCTGATTGGCTCAATCACCCTGTCACTCTCCTCCTCTTTTCGCGGAGGCGGGCCTTGCTCCAGTTGGCTCCCTCAGCCTGTCACTTGCCTACTCCTCCTCCTCCCGCGGATCCGGCCTTGCCCTGGTTGGCTCCTTCCACCTGTCATTCTCCTCCTCCGCGAGTTTTGCCCCGGTTGGCTCTTTCAGCCTTGCCTCCTCCTCCCGCGGCGCTAGGCCAGGAGGCGGCGCCTTGCTCTGGTTGGCTCCTTCAGCCTGTCACTCACCGCCTCCTTCTCCTCCTCCTCCCACGGCGCCAGACCAGGAGGCGGGGCCTTGCTCTAGTTGGCTCCTTCAGCCTGCCACTCGCCTCCTTCTCCTCCCGCGGCGCCAGTTCCTTGCCCTGGTTGGCTCCCTCGACTTGTCACTCGCCTCTAACTCCTCCTCCCGCGGCGCCAGGCCTTGCTCCGATTGGCTCTCTCGGCCTGTCACTCCCGCTCAGGAAGTCCAGCCCACCCGGATTTAAAGAGGCAGAGAGACGCGCGAGAGGGGAGGTTCTGTCCCTAGACGTCTGCCTCGACAGCACAGGCAGCATCCCCATCCCCACAAAAATAAAGAACTGTGGCTTCACGACAGACACCCACGTGTCATACAAAAGCTTTACAACTAGGGGCAATGGGTCAAGGAATCATAACAGGCATGACTTTCTCTGCAGAGAGGGATTGAGAGGCCAGTCTCTCCCAGGCGCCCCAACTTCTCCCTGTGGCTTCCTAGGTCCCCCTTCCGAGCTATAGGACCAAAGTTTCCTCTCCCCGCCCCTCCTTCAATCCCCAAACATCCGTGCAGGCGGAGAGAAGCGGCGGAAAGCCCAGCGTGACGCCCCCTCCTCCCTCCTTCCCCCTGCTGCTTCTTACCATGATCAGCGTGTGGTTCCTCTGCTCCTCGGCATCTTGGGGCGCCTTGCTGCCTTGCTGGTGCTGCTTGCCCGCTCCTCCTCCTCCTCCTCCTCCGGCTTTCTTGGCGCGCTGCTCCAGGCTCCGCTGGTAGAGGCTCACCGTGTCCCTGCGCTCCAGCTCCAGCTGCTCGGCCTGGGCCTGCTGGTAGCGCCCCTCGCAGTGGACGTGGTGCCGCCGGCAGCCTTCGATGCGCTGCCGGAGGCGCTCCACCACCGTGCTGTGCTTGGGGATGCCGGAGCCTCCGACGCCGTTGTTTCCTCCTCCTCCGCTGCTGCTGCTGCTGCTCCCGGGAGGCGGAGGGCCGAGGGGCGCGCTGAGCCCCCCGCTCAGGGTATTATTGTTGAGGCAGAGGCTGCTGCCATTGGCGGCAGCGGGGGCTGGAAAATCCCCCATCGCTTGCGCCGGGCACACTATTTTGGAAGAACTTTGGTGCCCCCCCTCGTTGCAAAAACCCCACTCAGCGGAGCATGAAGGAAATTGGGGGGCGGGGAGGGGGGAGAGAATAACGCGTGGAGTCTTATTTGAGCAACCCAAACCAGCCTTCCATTCAAAGACTAATAATAAAAATGTTTGTGGAGTGTTGTTGTTTCCAAAAGCAAAGCCCTACTCGCTTCCTCTCTTGGGTTGTCTCCTCTTAGTCCGGGTTGGGAAAGGGGTGCCAAAAAGAGAGAGAGAGAGAGAGAGAGAGAGAAAAGACTCAGGGAAGTCTAGATGTAGCGCCCGTGGAAAGAAACGCGCGGCGAAGGAGGAGGCGGACGTAGTTTTCCAGGCAACTCCGAGCTGCTGCTGCTGCTTCCTCCTCCTCTTCTTCCTCCCGTCCACGGAGGAAGCGGGTCCGGAGCGGAGCCCGCGCGTGGCAAGGGCATGGAGACCACAGGCGCCTCTCCTAGTCCTCCTCTGAGTCCGCCTCGGAGTCCTCTTCTTCTGAGCCGCCTTGGCTTTGCCTTCAGGGCAGGACAAGCAGCACAAGCAGCCGCCAGAGCCGCGCGCGCGCGACCCGGGGGCAGCAAGAGCAGCAGCAGCAGCAGCGTCGCCTCCCCCCACGCGCGCCCGGCATCTCCTGCCTGCCTCCCTTCTTCCCTTCCTTCCTTCCTTCCTTCTCTCCCTCCCCTTTTCCCCCTCTTCCTCTCTTCCTTCCCCACGCGAGACCGGCGAAGGCGCCTTTCGGGCTGGTTGTGTTGGCTTGCCCGGGATGGAAAGAGGGAGGGAAGGAGAGAGAGACACACACACACAAGAAGAAGGGAGAGGAGGAAGTACTTTGAATCTCTCTCTCGTTATTATTATTTGCTTTTGCTTTTTGTTTTGGGGTTTTTTGTTTGTTTCCACGCCGCAGCGTGTTCTCAAAAGTACTCTTGTTGTATTTCGCGTGAGAGGGGGAAATAAAAGGGGAGGAAGAGTCCAAAACACGTGAACAAATCCCAGAAAGTCTGAAGTATTTGCGAAATGTCTTCCTCCTCCTCCTCCTCTTCCTCCGCTGCTGTTGCTGCTGCTGCTGCTGCGCTGAGAGCAGGGCTGCCTCTCCTGCTGCTGCCGCCACCACCAGATCAAGCGCTGCTCTCCGCCTCCTTTCGCTCTTTCTCCTCCTCCTCCTTCTCGGCTGCCCTCCTCGCCGCCGCCTCCTCCTCCTCTCGCTGCTCCATGCCAGCGGAGTGATACCAGGACAAGCGCGGTCAGTAAACACCGGCTCCTCCAGGCCCGGAGGCAGACCCGGGGACAAGGTGCAAAACCCGGGCTGGACCTCGGCGCCGGCAGGAACGGGGCGCGGCCTCAGGTGGCTCCGTCGCCAAAGAGCCAAAGGCTCCCTTCGGCGGCGAGGACGGAACAAGGAAGCCCCGAGGGAGGCCAAGCTCGCCAAAGCCCGTCAACTTTTGACCCGGTCGCGTGCGCCACGAGAGAAGGGTCGCTGGAGAGAAGGGGGACTTGAGGCTTCCTTGACGCAGCTTGCCGCCTTCTTCTCCTCCTACTGCTACTACTTCTCCTCCTCCTTCTACTTTCCCTCCTCCTTCTCCTTCTTCATCTCCTTCTTCTCCTCCTTCTCCATCTTCTCCACCTCCTCCGCTTTTTCTCCTCTTTCTTCTACGTCTTCTCCTTCTCCACCTCCTTCTCCCTCTCCTTTTCCTCCTTCTCCTACTTTTTCTCCTTCTCCACCTCCTTCTACTCCTTCTCCCACTCCTTTTCCTCCTTCTCCTACTTTTTCTCCTTCTCCACCTCCTTCTACTTCTCCTTCTCCACCTCCTTCTACTTCTCCTTTTCAATCTCCTCCTCCTCCATCCCTTTCTTCTCCTTCTTTATCTTCCTGCTTCTCCTTCTCCTCCTTCCCCTTCTTCTACTTCTTCTTGGTCTCCTCCACCTCCTTTTCCTCCTTCCCCTTCTTCATCTTCACTTTCTTCTCCTACTTTTTCTCCTGCTTCTCCTTCTCCTCCTTCCCCTTCATCTACTTCTTGGTCTCCTCCTTCCCCTTCTTCATCTTTTCTTCCTTCTCCTTCTTCTCTTCCTTCTCCTCCTTTTTTATTCTCCTCCTCCTTCTCCCCTTTCTCCTTCTCCCTCTCCTTCCCCTTCTTCTCCTTCACCTTTGCTATCTTCTCTCCCTCTCCTTCTCTTCCTTCTCCACCTCCTCCTCCTTGTCATCACATTGGGACACCTGTATAAGGTCAAGAAAGAACCTCCACCTCCTTCTACTTCTCCTTCTCACTCTCCTTCTTCTCCTTCCCCTTCTTTAACTTCTCCTCCTCCTTTTTCTCCTGCTTCTCCTTCTCCTCCTTCCCCCTCATCTACTTCTTGGTCTCCTCCTTCCCCTTCTTCATCTTTTCTTCCTTCTTCTCTTCCTTCTTCTTTTTTATTCTCCTCCTCCTTCTCCCACTTCTCCTTCTTCTCCCTCTCCTTCCCTTCTCCTTTGCTATCTTCTCTCCCTCTCCTTCTTCTCCTCCTTCTCCACCTCCTTCAAATCCTCCTCCTCCTTGTCATCACATTGGGAAGCCTGTGTAAAGCCAAGAAAGAACGGCTGGACTGGAGTCTTCTGGGAGCCTTTTCTCACTTGGAATAGTGTGTGTGAGGGGCTCGCTTTCAACTTAATCCACATTGTAGAATTTATGCAGGTTGATACCACATGAGCTGCCCCTGGGCTCAATAGGAGTGGTAATTTTAGAAAGACTTCTCTGCCAAAGAGTTCCACCAAACTTACAGCTCCCACCATGCCATAGCATTGAGGCAAGTAAAGTGGTGCCAAACTGTGTTCATTCTACAGAGTAGGTACAGCCCAGCTTCTCCTCTTCAAAATACCACACGAGGCACACATAGAACTTCCTCGGTCCTTCTCTTAGGAATCAATACTATATTTTTTCACCAGACTTATTTAAAAGTTGGCAGAAAGAAAAGCCACGAAATATCTGTAGTAATGCTGTATAATAGGCATGGGCCAACTTGGGTCTGCCAGGTGTTTTGGACTTCAACTCCCACAATTTCTAACACCCTCAGGCAGCATCTGAGGGGGGAAAGGAAAGGGCCCAAAGCTGTTAGGAATTCTGGGAGTTGAAGTGCAGAACTCCTGGAGGGCCCAGGTTTGCCCATGCCTGCTCTAACTAAATTGCCCCAAAAATAGTGGTGCCTGCTTCTTTTCTGTTAGCAACCAGTCCAAATCTTCCCGTCATTGACAGATTAGTTTAATTATTTATATGCCACTTTTTCACACAAATGAACCCACAAAGTGACTTTTAAAAGTATGAGCATGCACATGTATGTATTAGAGGTGTGTGAAATGCTAAAAATTCACTTCATTTGTATTTATGAAATTTGGGCAACTTTCATTTTGTTTCTAGAGTGTTTTGAAAAATTACTAAGGGGTCTGTATTGTATCTGACATAAAGTTCTGAAATTTTTTATTTTATTATTTACCTATACACACCAACGAGGACACTTCTGGGGCTTTCTCACTCATATTTAGGGCTATTGGGTTGAAACTTTCTACAATTGTAGTACACATTTGCCACTCAAAGCCCCCCAAGTTTCAGAAAGTTTAGCTCATCCACTGGGAATTTTTTGAACTTTATATGAACAACATTTTTTTAAAAAATTACAAGACCTACCCTTTTGAATTTCTCTACAATGATACTCCACAGGTTTCAGAAGGTTTCACACATCTACTGATTTTTAGGGAACTTTTTAGATTTCGCCTAAAAACTTTTTAAAAACCTACAAGATCTATCCCCTTGGATTTTTCTACAATGACACAACATAGCTGCTTTGAGTCCCTTTCGAGAGCGATAATGCAGCATATAAATAAAATAATAATTCCTTCCAAGGTTCAGGAAGCGCATAGTGCACTTTGCAGAATTGAATTATACTTTTCAAACCAATAGAAAGGAAAGCAAGATGCTTGGTAGTACTACCAATTGCCCCACAATATGGGAAAGGAATGGAACAGGTTAGTTGGGTTGGTCAACAGTACTAGATTAGAATTATTCTTCTCATTTGACTCCAAAATCTATGTTTGTTGTTTGTATTAATACTGGCCCTGTAACAACAACAGCATCACCCTTCCATCTTGGGATTTTAGAAAGTAAAGCACATAGTATACTTTGCAAAACTTTTTTTGTCATGTTAGTAGCGACTTGAGAAACTGCAAGTCACTTCTGGTGTGAGAGAATTGGCAGTCTGCAAGGATGTTGCCCAGGGCATGCCCGAATGTTTTTTTTAATGTTTTTAACATTCTTGTGGGAGGCTTCTCTCATGTCCCCGCATTAGAAGCTAGAGCTGATAGAGGGAACTCATCCGCACTCTCCCCGGATTCAAACCTGCGACCTGTCGGTCTTCAGTCCTGCTGGCACAGAGGTTTAACCCACTGCACCATCGAAGCTTCACTTGGCAAAACCAAATTATTCTTTTAAAACCAATACATAGGAAAGTAAGAATTCTACATAAGTAGAGTCGAATTAAAATAGAATTAAAATAGACTAGAAAATCAAGAAAGCATTTTGTAGAAAGAAATCCAGAGAGGGGAAAATGGGATACCCCTCCAAAATGAAGCTCAGCTGTGGCAATCGTAAAAGGAATCCTAAACTGCTCGGCAAACTAGGCTTGCATGGCACATGCAAAACATTGGAGGAGGGACAAATTCAGCTCCTAGCTCCTGTGCGACCCTCGATCTACCAGTTATCTCACAGCTCAATTGCACAATGGGGAGTGAGGCAATGGGGCTTCTGTATTTAAAACAGTGGTTCCCAACCTGTGGTCCATGGACCTCCAGTGGTCCGCAAAAATGAAAATATGGTCCGCAGCCTCACTATTACTACACAGTTGCCTCGAAACCACGTGGCAGTGAGAGTGACTAGTCTCATGAAACCCTCTAATAGTGCTGAGGGAATGGGATGTCAGGAGGGATTACTACTATCACATCAGCTCTAGATTATTAAATATGGTTTTCTGTGGGCGCGCAGATGGCGACTACTGGATGGCATATGTTCTGTATCAGAAACTAGAGCTGGTGTGGTCAATCCAATGCAAATTTCTGAATCAGCACCCCAAACGACCAAACCAAATCTAAAATTGACCAAAAACTGATTCAAAACCCTTTTGGTATTAATGTTAGAGAGTGGTCCCAAGGTCAAAAAAAGGTTGGGCATGTTTAGCTTGCAGAAGAGAAACTGAGAGGAGACATGATAGCCATGTATAAATATGTGAGGGGAAATAATAGAGAGGAGGGAGCAAGCTTATTTTCAGCTGCCCTGGAGACTAGGCCATGAAGCAATGGCTTCAAACTACAGGAAAGGAGATTCCACCTGAACATTAGGAAGAACTTCCTGACTGTTGAGAGCTGTTCAGCAGGAGTCTCTGCCCCAAAGTGTGTTGGAGGCTCCTTCTGTGGAGGCTTTTAAACAGAGGCTGGATGGCCATCTGTTGGGGGTGTTTTAAATGCAATTGTCCTGTTTCTTGGCAGGGGGTTGGACTGGATGGCCCACGAGGTCTCTTCCAACTCTAAAATTATATTCTGTGGATCTATATGACATATCAAGTTTGGCT